AACTTGCTGATAATATAAAAAATATATATAAGATAGAAATCGAATGAAGATAAGATTTACCAAATTAAGTTTGCCAAATTTTATCAAAATCTATCCATAAACAAGTAAACTACATCAGTTTCCATTTTTTAATAATCTAAAATATAGTTCTGTTCATAAAATAAAATTATAAATGCCTCTAATTCTAACGAAAGATGTGCAGTTAAGAAGTAATCGCATTCTAAGCTAAATCTTTGACAAAAAGTGCAATGATTTTTTAGTGAGAATAGGCTATATAATTTGACACTTAAAATGTCAGCTAGTTTAAGATTTCAATTTGTAATTCTGCCAATTAGGATCAATTTAAAATATATATATTTAAATTAATCTGCCGCTACTTGACTACTGCTAATATTCCCCTGGGCCTATTGAGAAAAAATTAGCTATGTTCCTATTTAAATAGGTTAGCCTGCCAACTTGGAGACAGGGAATTGTACACAAATTTTGTTGAATGGGGAAAAGACAGTTAATTGCTCTTAATTATGGTATGAGCCGCGAGGTAAATAAATATCCCATGGCTGAGCCTGCATTCATTGACAACGTTCTCTTTTTACACCTCAAGGAAATCACGGTCAACAATGACGGGTGTTGCTGGGATTGCAAAAGACAATCACGGCACCGTCGAGACTGCAGTATAATATGAGTTTTGGCGAGATCACGGGAAATGATCACGGTATAGCTGAGACCACCTGACCACACGTGTTTACGCAATCGTAGGAGAATATCATTGGTGTTTGCTATAAAAAATAATAATTTTCAAAAACGTATGCTGGCTTTCTGCTGGCTGGAATAAAACTGCACGAGGGCCGGATGTAGCCCGTAGGCTGTAGGTTGGAGACCCCTTGGTTAGACACTTTTAAGACCTATTTTTTTACTATAACTGTACCTACTTTACTTTATTGTATTTTTACGAAAAATAAAGATTTATTATTATTATTATTATGATTTATAATTAAATTGGTCGATAAGGCATTGAGTTCTTGACAATAAAGAAATACCCCCGCCGCAGCAAACCTGCCGACTAAGCGAATTTCCATTTGTCTGAATTGATTTTCAGTTAAATATATTTTAATAACATTAGGTTTAACGAGTACCTAGGTTTGCTGCTACAAGGAAACTAATAAAGTGTGTTTTTGAGTAAAATATTGATAGCTTAGTACAAAATAAATAAATTTGCCAAGTTTAATCAAAATATATTCATAAACAAGCAAACTACAACATTTGACAATATTCTCCATAAGAATAACATGGGAATTTTAAATTTACAATTTTTTTAATTTTCTCCGTTACTAATAATCGAACAAAAATACTTTAATATACTAAATTATTTGTTTTTTTAAGCTCTTTAAAGAGGTCTAAAGAGAAATTGGGAAATTTTGTGTTTTGAGGGTCAAAAGTGAGAAAAACCAATTTTTACCCCATAAAACCCCCCGTAAAGCCCCGTTCCCATGGTCCGATCGTGCTGGTTCGCGAACTCATTCAAGTTTATCTCGCTTTACACCTTTAAACCAAATTTCATCAAAATCGGACAAAAATTACTCAAGTTATCGCGTTCACGGACGTATATATATATATGTCTATATATATATATATACATATATGTCTATATATATATATATACATATATAAAAATTTGAACGAATAGTCTTTTTGGCCTCTGGGGACATCAAAATGAAAAAGTAAATCGGTCCCGGGTCTAGGTCTTACCATGCCACCTACGGTAATAGCTACTTCCCTATAGGGAAATTCGCTAAAAAGAGATGGATTGAACCGCAAATTAAGTTTTGCTCATTTGCATAGCCTGTGACTGAAAATTCACAATTGGAAAAGAAAACATCACAGTAGTTAGATGTAGGCCTACTCTGTTAATTATAATAAAATTTAAGTTCTATATTAGGTAGTTAGATGAGTAATCTTTTCTTTAACACAATAAATTTACCTTGCATCAATCCTAAACTTTGCTGGGCGAAGCCAATTCTTGATTATAGTAGCAACAACATATATTTCCATTACACCACGATCCTAGTGTTCTTGCATACCGGTACTGCCTCTGTATAATAAGAGATTAGTATTAGCACTAGAATTTGTATATTTTCATTTTCCTGATCAACACCCAGGATAGCCTACAACTAGGTACACATATAAAATTGTTAGTGAATTCAATTTTATATTTTGATGGTCTTTGCTTCTTTTTAGTAGCCTTGTTAAAGCTAAATCTAAATCTGAAAATTGAAAATTTTGACCTAGGTAGTGGCAAAAGTAATCCCTCAGTCACTTAAACGGACAAATATTGGGGTGAGCACTGACTGAAATGAGTGCAACGGTCAGATGTAGTTTGGTGTGTGTATAGGCCTATGTGTGCGCTTAAAAAAATTCAACTAATACAGTTTTCTTTTACATAAGTTAGCACTGCCGGAATATTTATATAGTGTAAATCAAAGACTTCCTATATAAGTGGGTCACAAAAAAGAGAAACTCTCTTAACTGTGTGATGAACCTTAGGCTATGTTAATACCCAATAGGTACCTATCATGAATTAGGTTGTGATTTGGCGGTAGGGCCTAACTTACCTACAGTTCCTAAGAGAACCTGCGATATATTACCGGACAGTATATATATCCGATTCGATATTGATATTGCAAAACTAGATGCCTAGTCCACACATGGAAACTGAGTCGGATCGGCCGACTGTCTGTCAACACAGTTTCGGATAAAAGTTTCCGATGTGTTTTGCATCCACACTGCCAGTCAGTGTTTCTGTGTTTGTTTGTATGGCGACCGAGGAAGACGTTATAATATCATGTGTGGGCTTCATATTTCTGACCCATATGGGGCTAAACCTTGGAAGAAACGATGATGGACCCAACATTTTCTCGAGCAAGGTTTTTGGGTGTTATCTTGTTTATGTTGTACAATCTTCTCTCAGACCTTCGATTAGATGAAGCGATGAAGGAACTTTTCATGAGGATGGCTTCTAAAGATTTTGAAGTTTTGCTAGGCTTTGTTGGGCTTAAGATTTCAAACTTGAAGAGATGAACAATTCAATAAAATGTCATATAATAATATAAATTATTGAAAACTAATTCCAAAACTTTATAGATACTCAATCCAGCTCTTTTAACACCGCCCAAAAGTCGTAATATTACTGCTTTGCAGTCCAACTAAATGGGCTGAATGTTGAACACCTTCGGCTTGTATCCACTCTCCTATCACCAGATATGTCCACACAAGAGACAAAAGTTTTGTATCTTGTCTCGGTGTTTCCTATTCAAATGGGAAACGGAAAACACTGTATTTTGTCTCCAGAAACACCGAATTTGTCTGCTGACAGTAGGCAGACAGTCGGACGACTAGCTGGAGACATCGCTGGATACAAATGGCAACACTACGCTACGGAGACAGTCGGCCGACAATGTTTCTGCAGACAAATCGCCATGTGTAGACCAACGATCACATAAGACCAATAGATGGAGCACGCCTATCTAACATTAAAGCAGGTGAAGCCAGGTCCGCCATCTTGTTGTAGGTTGTAGGCACCAAAACTCAATGTTCCGCTTCAAAATAACTCGACATTTAGCCTACTTAGACTTAAGTTATAGGGTTAAAACTTTGTATGAGCGAAGTCAATAAGTCTATGACACTATTGGTTTTAATTAAAAGCTTAAAAGTTAGTATTTTCTATTTTAAATCTTCAAATAGTCGGTACTTTTAAATGAGTTTAAAAATATGACATGAAAAAGTTCGTCAGCTGCTACTTTTTTTATTTTTTGGTCAGGTAGGTTAAAAAACGGTGGATTTTGTAGCTAGAGTTGAATTTTTTGGATCATATTTTTTAAGAATTTTAGCTGGTGTAGTTTGGTTGTAATTTAAATTGTAATATAGGGGCTACCCGCCGCGCCGCGTGGCGTCATGCGGGCAGATTCTGCCTACAACCTCACTTGTAAAGTTTAGATACTCAAGTTTGGAGCTATACAGAAAAGTTACTAAACTAATTAGAAAATCACGGAGTACATATTAATGTTCTTTTTATTATTATTCATCTAAAAATTATTATTTTTTACCTCTTTCACAGAAATTAATGACAGTTAGAATATTATAAAGGAGAGTTGTATAAAGAGTTTCAGAAACTATCTAGTGACTTTGAAAATTCGTACATTGTGAACCAAATGTCAGAACTTTATCAAACTTTAATACGATATAGATACATATATTATAAATTAATTTGTAGCTTTTCAGAATTTTTCTTTCACCAAAAAAGTTTTTGTTGATTATGTAAACTAACTTTTTCCTAAGAAACGGTAAACACTAGAAAACAAATTAAAAGCGTATTTTGAAGGTAATTGTGTTAGTAATAGAAATGTTTATAATACAAAGGCGTAATGTCACAGATATCATTAATATAAACTAACATTTAATTAGTTGCGCCCGCTATTAGGGCTCATCACAGCCGGCAGCCGCCATCTTGTTGTAGATTAGTGGAAAATACTGGCTTCACGTCGCGGCCAACATGCTCCATCTATTGGTCTTTTGTGATCGTTGGTGTGGACTAGGCTACCGTAGATGTAAGCGGAATGTTAGGTTAGTTTTGTGTTTGTGTCTGATAAAGTCAGCTGTAAGGAGCTTTTAAGGGTTAAGAGTTTGCAGAGAGAAGTGAGGTACAAGGGAAACATTCAATGGAATGGTACTCTTAAATTGTGTCTAGCGTTAATCTAAGACAAAGTCCAACACCATCCCCCTCGCCCTCTTGAACTAAAATGCTCTTGGTGGAGGAAGACTCTGTGCCCTAGCTATCACTCGCCACTCAAGGCTCTTCCTTACTCAAGTATCAATGTGCGTACGTACACGCACACACAACACACTAGCTAGCTGAAAGTGCTCTGTTGTTTGTTAGTCACAAAGCAAAAAAATGAAAATATGTTGTTTGGACAAGAAAACAAATGCCGAATATTTTTACATTTTATTCACAGATAACCTTAAAACTACCTTAAAGGTACCAATAGTACATACAATCTAAAGTATAATATAAATGTACAACACACAAACTTAATTTATACAATAACAAATGAAAATTATCTGATAGTTGTGGTAAAGTTATTACTAAGTCAATGATCTTGATTGTGATCCTAATATGCACACAAACATAATAACTTACAACAGTAAACAAAAAAATATCTGATAGTAACTTAAGTAAAATCTCATAGTATATAAATCCACGAGACCAGGAAGAACTATTAAAAGTACTTTCCCTGGTGAATGGCATGTGATAATTTTTGCCACACTACCGATTTACTGTGTAACGTGACGAAAATAAAATTTCAATTTATGCTTAGTTGGTAAATTTTTAATTATAATCTTTATGAAAAATAACAACTTACTCAATAATAAATTATAATCTATAGGTTTCTTTACACGTCAAAACATAAGAGATCTGATCAATAATAATAATAAAATAATAACTCATATATAATATAAATCACAAACATAAATTACACATAAGTGGTACCTATACAAAGACTTTTCAATGATCAAACAGGGTATTGATATAAATTATTTACATTTGGGATCAGTAACAATAGATACTTCTAAATTGATATATGATTATCTAATGATCATTATTATATACATATTTATCTGGGATTTGATAACAACGGGTCATTACAAATGAGTACAAAACTGGCAAAATAGATTTCAAAAATTAGTAACAAAACAACAATTGATCCAGTATTTACAAATAATAATTTCCCTTTTAAACATACCTATAAATATCTATACACACAAATGATCATTGCGTATCGATAACAAAAATATCTGCTTTTTGGGACCCTGTGATAAGGTTCTGTTGAGCACATAGAATCTCAGTTCATCCACTTTCGGCAGTTTGGCGCTCCACACATACAAGGAATCTTGTGTTGGTCGTCTTCTATGTCAAATTTGTAGTCATAAGCCAACTGAAACAAAGGCCTCTTAGTTGTTTTATCTTAAAAATATTTTGAACAAGTAGGTTATGTACCTTTGTCCATATTCAGTCTTTAAATAGTAGTCTAGAGATTACTTATTTTGGGTCATAAGACCCATTTTCAAATCCACATCAAATTAGTCAAAAAATCTGACAGAAGTCTTCATCAATAAATAAACACACGTCACCACATAAAGTTTAAATTTAAAACACAGAAAAAATTAAATAAAGGGTAGGGGGCCACATTATTGAAATGTTTTATGTGTTTTTAATGTGAACAATAATAAATAAATAAGTAAAGAACAATCATTGGAAATTGATGCTAAAAAGATAATTATATATGAGCCAACAATTCTATATTTTAAAGAAAAATACAACTCACAAAAATATTGAAGTAATTGGTTTCGTGGTTTATTTATTAGATTAATAGGGACCATTACAAGTTTATACACATTTTGGAAAAGGTTTCAATTCGACAGAAACTTTCTACAGAAAATTTCCATCGTTACATTGAAAACTTCTATATCAATCTTAAAGAAATAATTTTTACTCTAACTGATCAAGATCAAAATTATTGTGTAGTTTTAATTAGTTTAATTTTTTTCGGTTTAGCCTCAATTGTTGTTTGTTAAACACAAACAACAATTTAGGCTAAACCGAGCTTGCTTGATGGAGCAAGAAGGATGTAATTTATCTTCTTAGTCGACATAGGGTTTTTTTATTGATGAATACTTCTGGATTTATGGACTAATTTGATGTGGATTGGAAAATGGGCTTCATGACCCAAAAGCAAAACTCAGGGTGACTACTACATTCTGGATAAAAAATTCATGGACAATTCCCGTACATTTAAGGACACTTTGCCGTAACCTTTGTCGGTGTCATTAGGCCTACCGAATAATTTTCCTGATTTGTCAAACTGTATTAATCTTGTTATTCACTGTAGTTGTACGAGAGAGAAAAGTAAATAATGATAGATAAGAGTTAAAAATTACAAAATAGAAATTTATTGAAAGTAAACAAACATAGGCCTACCTATACTTTAGGTAGGCCTAAAGCTTTTATAGTGTAACAGAGAAACGCAATCATTGTCTCCTGCGATAGCGACAAATATCTCCATCCGTCACGTAAACTTCATAACATAGCTTATCCGATCCAGGCGGATTAATTTGGCATGATCCGCCCTGGCACAACGTTAGGTTCTCGACTACTTTTGAAAAAAAAAATCTTTAATGCATATTGTTACTCAATTCTTAGTACAAAATCAAGGTATGGTAAGCGGCTATTAATAAGCAATAAGCACAGAGTAAGGTTATTGTATTTTCATTTGTAAAGTTAATATCGACACATAGCAATCATTAGTTGTTTATCTTGGGCTCAATTACATTTTCTTAATATATTTTACAGCTCTTTCAAGAATCAAAATACCCAGGCCTAAGCCTAATTATTTAGGAGGGCCTATATAAACTGAGTAACAAACAATGAGGTTATAATAGCAGCAAAGTTACTATCATCATTCTAGTTCATAAGATTTTGATTGCTTAAAGCATACAACTCAATAAATAAATATATGGGAAACAAAAAACATTGAAACCTGAATAGCCAACAATATAAGACAAAGATACAGAAAATGCAATGACATAATTTGAAACCAAGCAGGCCTTAAAAAAGGGGTTAACTTACAAAATAAGACTGTAGATTATTTACATGTTTAATATGAAACCATAAACAGTTTTATGGCACTAGGCACTGGCCGCGGCAAATTGAATCTTCAAGCCAAAAGTACAAGTAAGAAGTGAAATTTAACAGCCATTATAAAGCTATTATTTTCATGATAAAATAGGTTTGGGATCTAATAATAATACCCTAGTAATAAAAAAAGAAGTTGTAAATGAATAAAAGTGATATAACTTTTATGAGCTAGCTGCTGAGTCAACAGTTCTTAGAAGTACTTGACTTGACCCTTGATTGTCGTGATAAAATATTAATGGGTTTGAGATTGTTAATGGGATTTTTATTGCATAATTACTCTAGTAATAAATTATGAAAATGTAAACAAACATCTGATAAACCTTTTATGTGCTCCTAACCAACTAGCGATCAATAAAATTATGGCCCATTAAAAATTTAAGGACATTGTCTGGCATTTAAGGACAATTCCCGTACATTTCATGGCCAATAAAAATTTAAGTACAATTCCCGGTTTTCCCGGATTTCCCGGTTGGTAGACACCCTGAAAACTAAACTAACGATCTCTAGACTACTGTTCAAAAGCTGGAGATGGACAAAGGTACGTAACCTATTATGTTATTCGTACAATAAGTCTTGGTGGCAAGAATGTTTCAATTTAAAGTATTTCATTTGAATCTAGGCTAAACATAAGGATTAAAAAAACCATTGATACTTTTGATGCAGTTAAATTTTGGCCAATAACGTTACAGCATAAAGACGACACTGATATTTGTAGCATGGTTACCGAAACCTTTTAAAAATCTTTACCTCCAAGTAGAGCCCTGGAGATAAAATAACTTGTGCTTTTCTCCATTGCAATCAATTGAAAAACCTAGTTACTCTATGAACTTGTTTAACAATCCGGGTTATTAGAATGTATGTATTAATCTTTAGACAGTTTTAACAAACATTATCAATGTCAATATCTTATTTGATGTTAGTCTTGGTAGTTTCAAGTTTTATTTCTCTTTACACACATCACCTTTTTAATACATTAACCACCATTATCTGCCTCAACAGCAATAGAAGAATTTAATAAATAATCAATACAGCAATTTAATTGCGTGAATCTTTTCTCACCTCTTCTCCACGGTTGATACGGCGTTTGGCAAAGATGATAATCCGAACATCTCTTTCGACTTCTACTATTTCTGCGACACAGTTGGGGTTACAGGAATGGTTTATGTATCTCGCCAAGCCTCCACTTATCGTTGCGTCAATCACTCTGTCCTCGTCAAGACGGAACATGTAGATTCCGCGGTTCTGTAACAAACAAAATAGCACATAATATGAGTATCAATATGTCTATAGACTTGATAATTTGTTAACTAATCTTTTGTGTAGGTCCATACTAGACATAATCTTTGCAAGAAAATAAAAATGATTCCAAGGGCATTCTGTGTAAATGTACATTAAAGGCATTTTCCAATTTGGCAATTCCAGGTCTGTGTCCAACAGAGTAGAGGGGGTTTTTTAGTGAGTAGTCTGATAATTTTCAGGAGTCTCACACTACAGGCTGGCTACCTGTGTGCGTAAAAGCATTTTCCCTCCTCTCCCTAAAAAAAGGCTTTTTGAAGAGGTTGGGTGATCTATTTTAATCTTGAGTTTAAAAAGCTGCCCATTTGGGTTGCCTGAATTTTATCTTCCTGGATTCTCACCTGGGAAAGAAGAGCAATTTTTTACCTTTAAAGCCAAGGGGGGAAGATTCCAATTGCAAACAATTGAATTGCACAATGTGAATTAGCGGTAAAATGGTGGGGAACTTTTAAGTACATTGGCCAATGATGCAAAATTCCTCTCAGATAAATGAAAAAAAAACTTGACACAGAAATAAAAACATTAGCCTACCTTAGCTTCATATTGCTTTTCCCTAGACTCGGCCAGTTCTGTGCGTATAAGCTCACCGATGTACTCGATGACCATGGTATACCTCTCAATGTCTCGTGCTGCGTATAGTCCCAGGCCTTGGATCTTGGATCTAAAACAAAACAAATAATATTATGTAAATTTCATCTGTTGGTAGCAATTACAAATATTACTATGTAAATTTCATCCGTTGGTAGCAATTAAGGCAATTATGTTTTTTGGTTTGACAATTTTTTGACCAATTCAAATATGATTGCTATGATCTTTTAAAGTTTTTAAACACCCGACCGAGGGTTCAAAACCAAAAATGTATTGTCTCACTTGTTCAAATTTAAAAACAGTCGTAATTAGATTGCTGTTTAAGAAAAACAGAGCTGAGCTTGATACAAATAAAAGATTTAAAAATGTTTAAATAACATGGAACAGAGCTATAGGGGTTTTATTCTATAATTCTGAAATCTTTGACTTTTGTTAAGCTAAGTTACTTTAGTTCAGCTGGGTGCTGAGAAGATATGATGCTCAGAAGGTTGCCAGTTCGATCCTGATAAAGGTTAGTAGCTTTTTAAAGGTTCGAAACTGGACCCAGCTATCATTTATCGGGTTCCTAATAAATGGTCCAGACTATAGATCCAGCTGATCTTAGTCTTGACAAAACTATGATTTAATTCATTAAACACTCATACTTCACCCATCTTTGTCTTAAAATACACACCCTGGTGTATTCTAGTTCATCCAATTGTATCAACACAGAGGGGCCTCTCTGGTATGAGCCGCCGGGAGCCACAAGTAGGGCCCTGCTTAAGCTTTGACTAACCTGGCCAGGTAAACGTTGTTCCTCCATTCCTGCTTCATCTTCTTGTACTGTGAACTCTTGGAGTGGACAAACTGTTTGCTGTAGGGACTGAACGCCTCTCCGACTGCACTCGTAGTTGCCGCATAGTTGCTACGTTGACTTGCATTCGTGGTTCGCTGGGTGTGAGCCCTCTTCCATTTCTCCTGTCCTTTGGGTTTTGCTTCGCACCTTGCACATCCGCTGGGATTGATGGCGAGAGGCAGCTCTAGCAGAGGATTGCGTCCGTACTTAAACCTGTAGTCTATCAGTGTCTCCACCCCTGAAATGATGAATTATAATTTGTATAGTTATTTTCTTTCGACAATACATTTTTATTACATTTTAAATATTTTAAACTTGGCTACGCAATTAGCAGCCTAGATGTTACTGGGAAAGTATAGGCCTAATCAGGCATTCCATGGAATGCCTAGGAAATATATACATTTCCAAAAATAAGTTAGGCAAAGTATGAAATAAAGCCCATTATACAGGGTGAGTTTCTACTGACCGTGCTAACTTCGCCAGTAGGTTCTACTCACTAAAAGGAACAAAAAAGTTCCTATGAACCCATGTCCGATTCTCAAGAGTTTGGCTGTAATATGGAGTTTTGTGTTTTTCTTATTTTATTAGACTCTTCCCCACAATTTATGTAATAAAAACATAACCAATTACTCTAGAGAATTATAGTTAAAATCATTAGAAAGAGTATAAAATTTGCTATGAATCAAAGGTTTCATGTAACAATTATACCATTGTTTAGTTCGGTTTATATCAAAAATAAAGTAAAAACTACATTTAATGAATTAATTACGTAAATTTGTATGACCCCATTTTGATACATAAACCTACAGCTATGCAATGTTGAAATGCATAGAAAACTTGGTCATTTAATAATCTTTCAAATGATATGCTATTCAATACTATTATTGATAGAAACCAATGAGAAATTACTAATAAACTACAATAAAACACGGTCTACAGATTTTGTTTTTGTAGAGTTTTTACTGTTAATAATAATTACTGTATTACTCCATGTTGTATTATATTGAAATAAGTTGTATATTATTTTATCTTTTAAATATTTATTAAAATTAACTAAATTCATAAAATGTATAAACTAAAGATATTTTGCATTTTCAAAGATGTAGTTTGTTTGATTCTTAAATGCTGTATAATTAGTTTTTCCTTGTACTTGCTTTAAGTCAGCTGTTATTGATTTGTCATCTATAGCATCTATAACTCAGCTGTTTGAACATACATTGTTGAGTAATTTGTTGTTTTAATGTTGTGTTTTCAAGTCAATTACTGTAAGAGTTTTTCAACATTCATTACAATATGGAACCTTTTACCAATCAAGAGTATGCTGATATACACTTTGTATATGGTTACTGTTCCGGTAATGCGGCGGAGAGCCGTCGTGAGTATAGTAGACGTTTTCCTAACAGACGATTACCTAATGCAAGCACGTTTATTCGTGTCCATCGATGTTTGACCGAAAATGGGAGCTTTCCTAGCAAAAAGCGAACAGTTGGCAATGTTGTGCAGGATGTTGGCTTAGAAGAGGCTGTGTTGGACTGTGTGGAAAGAAATCCGAGGACTAGTACAAGAAATGTTGCCAGTGAATTTAGTGTTAGTCAAAGTTTTGTGTCAAATCTTTTGCGCAAAGAAGGACTGCATCCATACCATTTCACCAGAGTCCAAACTCTAGAGCCAAGGGACCCCCCTCAGAGACTGCAGTTTTGTCGATGGATCCTGCAGAATGACCATGGTGATTTTTTGAAAAGAATTTTGTGGACCGATGAGTCCTCTTTCACGAAAGATGGCGTGTTTAACTACCACAATGAACATTTTTATGTAACTGAAAACCCACATCTTGCTCGAGAATCACGCAGTCAGTCCCGGTTTAAAATAAATGTGTGGATTGGTTTGATTGGTAACCATCTTGTAGGTCCATACCTGGATCTTCCTCCGTCCCTAAATGGCGCTCAGTACCTCCAATTCCTCCGTGATGACCTTCCAGAGCTTCTTGAAGAATTGCCACTTAATTTGCGCGAGCGAATGATTTTTCAAGCTGATGGTGCTCCGCCACACTTCTGCCGTAATGTACGAGAGTACATAACAAACAACTTTGACACGTGGATTGGAAGAGGAGGGACGGTTCCTTGGCCTCCGCGGTCTCCGGACCTTACGCCTGTAGATTTCTATGTCTGGGGATTTCTCAAAGCAGAAGTCTACCGTTCCCCTGTACACGATGCCGAAGAGTTAAGACAGCGGATTGTAAGAGCAGCCAATCATCTTCGGGAAGAAGTAAACTTGAGAGCTTGTGTGAGAGAGATAAGGAAGAGAGTTCGAGCGTGCATTCAAGCTAATGGTGGACATTTTGAAAATTTATTAAAGTAAATTTGTTTACCAGCCTTATCACAAAATGTACATAGACTGTTAATGAAACAATAGACATAAAACATGTTAATTTGTATAAATTATTAGGATAGTAACTTTTTTTTAATTTTCTTTTGCATACTTTTAATAATAACACCATAGTAAACATTTTGATTTTAAATACTGTTATTTTAGGAGTATTTAATAAGGGTATAGGAGTTTTGTTAGGGTTTTATTAACTTTACATCAAACGATAACTGTTTTATCGTAGGTTGTGGCCATTAATACTGTATTAAACTATTTCATGTTTTGTTTGATTTATTTTCATTACAACATAGCATTTCAAACATATTCAATTACAACAGTTTATGAAGAAGTAGATTCGTTACAAATGATATTAAATGAAAATTAATTTCAACTAGTTGTATTATTATTGAATTCTATTAGCTATTTTAGAAAATATTACATCTGTTAATTCGTTGGTACGAACGCTGTTAAAGCAAAATCTGTTGACCGTGTCTTATTGCAGTTTATTAGTAATTTCTCATTGGTTTCTATCAATAATAGTATTGAATAGCATATCATTTGAAAGATTATTAAATGACCAAGTTTTCTATGCATTTCAACATTGCATAGCTGTAGGTTTATGTATCAAAATGGGGTCATACAAATTTACGTAATTAATTCATTAAATGTAGTTTTTACTTTATTTTTGATATAAACCGAACTAAACAATGGTATAATTGTTACATGAAACCTTTGATTCATAGCAAATTTTATACTCTTTCCAATGATTTTAACTATAATTCTCTAGAGTAATTGGTTATGTTTTTATTACATAAATTGTGGGGAAGAGTCTAATAAAATAAGAAAAACACAAAACTCCATATTACAGCCAAACTCTTGAGAATCGGACATGGGTTCATAGGAACTTTTTTGTTCCTTTTAGTGAGTAGAACCGACTGGCGAAGTTAGCACGGTCAGTAGAAACTCACCCTGTATACTTTGCCTAATTACTCTATAGAATGTTCATTGGCACTGCAGGTAAAGTATAAAATATGCTGTTGCAGGATTATTTAAACTTGATTGGCATTAACTAATCCAAAATAGATAACATAAACTAACCAGACCAAACCATGATGCACACAAATACAGAGCAGTATTTCAATATTGTAAAGTACATAGATTTTGGGAACAAATTTCTTTATTTAATACTTTTCCTGACACACAAAAATAATTGAGATTGTTTTTTGTGACCAATCTCACAATGCCTAGTCAAAGTAAATAAATTCCTATTATCATTACTCCATGTCATACTTTGCCTAAAAGCTGTTCGAAGGAAATGTAAAGAATGCCTATTCATTCTATAGAATGTCTGTATTTAGTACTTTAGTACTCTTATTTGCATTGCTGGTAACATAGATAATCCACTAAGAAAAATTGTGAGCTGTAATAAAAAAACAGAAAAAAAGAACATCATTGATCAGTGATCACCATATGATAGGTTAGCAAGTAAAGCATGAACCACATTGTCTGACCAAACTAATGAAAAATTAAAATACAACCTTTGGGCACTCTTTGTTATAACTCATACTTACAGTCTCTTTTCCCCCTAAACTAATTCCATTGCCAAGAACAATGTCGGTGAACAAATATGTGTGTCGGATGTTGTATTCAAATAATTATTATAAATAAATTGTAGGTCCTTAAATATATCTACTCCAGGAATATTATGTGACTTCGAAATTCAATTTTTCAGGGGAAGAGAACTTTAACTACACCTGAAAAGAGTTCCACTGAGTTGATAATATAATACAAGATTCACATATTTATAGAGGTGTGCGAGCGGCTCGATTTTCGAGCCGAGCCGAGCCTGGCCTACAAGCTCGAGAGATCGTGCCCAAAGTCGAAAAATCAAGCTTGAGCCGAGCTTTTACGAACGCGATCGTAAAACGCATCTGCAACGTAATAAACGCATCCTCAACCTAAGTTCGCGCGAAGAGCAAGAAGCCGATAAGTTACCGCAAGGAACATCGATGCATCGGAATGACGCAATCTCATTGGGTCTTGTCAGAAAGATCAGTTCCACTTCAGTGCAGAGTGCAGTGTTGCCAGATGGACAGTAATTTTTGTACTTTTACAACTACTGTAGTGGCAAAAACGAAGTATTTACTTTCCCAAAATTAACTACACAATTTCTAATGAGTTTATATAAACATTATTTAAATTAGTCAAACTAATTAACGTTTGTTTACGAATTAAGAGCTATAGAAATGTTATGATGATTTTTCAAAAGCTCGGCTCGATTGAAAATCTCAGGCTCGCACACCTCTACATTTATCGAAAAATTTATAATTAAAACACTTAAGACTCTGTTCAGGTAGTTTGTTATATTCCATTTCCTCCCTAAATAGAATTTTAAAGATATAGTTAAAGGGAAATCAAAATTTTCCTATTACTTTTCATGTTTGTTAGACTTAAAAGTGGAAAAATTACCTGGCATGCTCTCCAAAACTCTGACGATGGCTGGTTCAGTGAGACCAAAGAGATCTTCTCCGCTGACGTAGCGTGGGAACACCTGAACACTATTGTTGGCCTTGCGAAGGGCCACCAGCGGCTCAAGCACTCGGACCCACACAGCACGCGCTGACGTATCACGCAACTCAATGTCCTCCTGACCAGGCTCTTGGATCAGCACTCGGAACTCGGGTCTGCCATTGGCCTCGTGAATGGAGCAAATGTAGCGACAACGCTTGTTGTTCACCCTCATACTCCAATAGAAACGAACCTACGAAAAATTGAAACAATCTGATGTAGGCCTACTTGACAATAAACCTTTTCTTGAATCCATATAGTTGTTGTCACAGTATATTTTTGAACTAAATGTTAATATTAAATAATAGTTATGGAGTTTTATCAATTTAAAGTCACCATAGCTGCCAATTGATTTATTAACAAAGTACTGTTGCTTTGACCAAGATCTAATACCTAATTCTAGCACAGAGAAGTAACTGGATCGGCAGGAAGTGGGCGGTACCCTGGAGAAGTAAGGTACGGAGGAAACTTGCTTATGGGACGACCGTGCGCTTTCAACTCTAGTATGTTGTGCGGGATACTTATGACTTAAATATACTTGTGACGTGCAAGGAAGAGCCCGAGCGGCAAGAACTGTGCGGAAATACCTATCGAACAAGGCTATGAGGGTGAGGGGTCGGTGATGGACTTTGCCCTAGACACCTAGAACCAGCAACTAGTGCTAGACACCACTTAAATATACCATTGAATGTGTCCTCTGTACCTAACTACTCTGTAGTATTACCGGGAAATAATAAATGTTATAGCCTAAAAAAACATTAGGTTGGCTTACTTGAACTGTTAGCCTTTGTCCATATGGGAGGATAACAGGTGATTTTATAATTCATCCCCACAGGAAACCCTAGACATTGTTCTAGAGAGTTGTTAGAAAGAATATTTTCCGACAAGCAGTATTCTCTTTATTTGACCTACCAGTACGAAAGTTTTTAAAAGATCTTTGTAAATTATCAGTTGTGTTGTGGTTCTCAAGGTAACGAGTTAATTCAATTCAATTCAATTCAATTCAATTCAAAACTACTTTATTCATTTCCTGTACATAATACATTGAGTAGTGTCAACAGTTGCAAGTAGGCCTAATAGTTATTAAATACATTTCTAACATAATAAAATAAAAACAAAATTTCACAAACTTAAATTTTTTTTTTAAAGTCTAAACAAAAAATACATAAATTGAATTTGTTTTTGACTTCAAAGACTATTCAACTCTTCAAAAGAAAAAATAGCCTTGCTGATGAGAAATCTCTTTAATTTATTTTTAAATATTGTTTTGGAAGTCTCTGATTTAATTTCGATTGGGAGATTATTATAAAATTTTGATCCCGCATACATGGGTTTTTTCTCAAAAAGGATTTAGCCTATGGTGGCCAATTGCAAGGTTTTCCCGATTTCTGGTGAAATAATTATGACTATCCCCAACTCGTTCCAAATCATGAAGTCTGTCCTTTACTGATAAAATTATTTCATAAACGTACATTCCGTAAATTGTCATTATATTTTCTGATTTAAAATGTTCTTTATTAACAGAAGATTCAAAATCTAAATAGCAGATAATTCTAATAGCTTTCATTTGCTTTTTTAGAATAGAATTCAAATTGTAATCACTAGTTGCGCCATAAAGTGAAATCCCATAAGATATACTTGAGTGGATATATGAAAAATATAACTTTTAGAGTTTGTTTTTCACATAAGGGTTTCAATCTAGATAAAACAAATAATCCTGATGTGATTTTGGCAAGTAACTTTTCAACTAGGGATGGTCAAGTCTCGAAATTTCGGGAAATTTTCAATCTCGTTACACGAGACGAGATTACTTTTTGGCCGAGATTTTTATCGAGACGAGAAAAAAAAAAAAAAAAAATTAAAAACGCCTGCAGAAAGTCAATGCAATACCCGCAATACAGGAGCGTGTTGTAGTTGCGTTTCCTTTTCGAAGGCGTTCTTATTTAATTAATTCTTTTAATGTAAATATTACTTTAATTCTTTTAATGTAAATATTACTTTCATTATTTTAATAATATTACTTTAATAACATTTGAGAAGTTTTGTTAAGTGTAAGCAGTGTGAGGAATGTTTTATTACTATAAAAAAAGTCAAAACAAGTAACTATTTTATAAAAATTAATATTGCTTTTATTTTATGATTTATTTTATTTTAGGATAAGTTGAACTCTATCCTAACTGATATCACCATGTTTCCTAATCGTAGGCATTTTTAATAAGTTAGGCGTGATTAATAAAAAAATGTTATGCTGATGTTATTTAATGAAAGATTGTAAATATTCTTGCCTATTATCATTATTTTAGTATTTAAACAGTCATCTAACAATGTTACAAAATCAGGTAAAAATTTCGAACGTGCATTTCCCGTTGTGTATGAGAAGAGAAATCTCGTCTCGATCTCGTCTCAAAATTTTATGAGAAATAAAAAATCTCGTCTCGTCTCGTCTCGAACTAAAAATCCAATCTCGTCCATCCCTATTTTCAACGTGACTGTTCCATTTCAGATTTTTATCAATTACCAATCCCAAGAATTTCATGTTGTCCATACTTAGAATTTCTGTGTTCTCGAGTCTGATGATTGGTTTATTTTGATCCCCTAATTCTCGAGTTTGAAAACTAATGAAATTTGTCTTATCTGGATTAAGAAGCAAATTATTAGAATTTAAAAAAATATTTAAAACTGCTATATCGGAATTTGCCTTAAGTTCAATTTCATCATTTGATTTTGCAGTGATTTTCAAATTAGTATCATCGGCATATAGGCAAAGTTCACTCAAGTCACTGAGTTGGGGAAAGTCTCTAAAGTAACAAATGAATAATAAAGGGCCTAAGATGGACCCCTGAGGCACTCCAAATTTCACATCTCTAATAGAGGATCGGTAATGAATTTTATAGTTTTTGTTGTTTTGGTGAATTAATTTTACATACTGTTTTCTGTTGGAAAGGTAAGACTTCAGTAACTTGAATGCATTGTTCTTTATCCCTAATTTGCTTAGCTTTGAAAGTAAAAGGTCATGTGATATTGAATCAAAGGCTTTACTTAAATCCATAAATAATCCTACCACTTTCAATTTACTGTCCAAACTATCAATAATAGATTCAACAAACTTTGTGGCAGCTGTTATTACAGATCTACCACTGCGGAAACCATGTTGACATTCTTCAAAAAGGTAATTCTTTTCAAACAAATTTACTAGTTGATTATAGATTACTTTTTCATAAATTTTAGAAATAGCGGGAAGCAATGCTATTGGTCTGTAGTTTGAAACTAAGTACTTGTCCCCTTTTTTGAAAAGCGGTTTTAATTTTGCTACTTTAAGTTTATCAGGAAAAATACCAGAAATTAATGAAGAGTTAATGATGTGAGTGATTGGTTTAAGTAATACGAATCTTGCTTTTTTTAGGAGTACCACAGGAATACCATCATATCCTGAACTAAAAGAATTTTTTAGGTGGTTTAAAATGTAATCAATTTCTTTCTCATCAACAAAGCTAAATTTAAAATTGTTAGTACTAATTAACAACAAATCATTTTCTGAACTATTTCTGTCTCAACTTGAGTTTGCTCCATACTACATAATTATTAAAAATAATTATTAAATTGGTTACAAACCAAAGAAGGCTCAGTACATACAATGTCATTTGATTTTAAAATTATGTTTTGTATATCCTTTGCTTTATTTCCTACTTCTGAGTTGATAATCTTCCAAGTGGTTTTATTTACATTATTTGAATTATTAATAACAGATTTATAGTAATTTTTCTTTGCAGTGTACAATCGTTTTCTGAAATTTTTGTTAATTTCCCTAGTTTTTTTAAACATTTTTTTACAATTAACTTCTCTAGCCAATTTGCTGAAATTAGTTATATTTTGTTTTTCTAACTTTAATTCATTAGAGATCCATTTTTTGTTAGAATGTTGTCTTATCAAAGTCTCAGGAAAACAATTATCAAAATGATACATAAAAATGTGATGAAATGTATCATACTTTCTTTAAACCGATGATGAGTAAACGTTTGCCCATGATTCAAATTCCAGTGCCCTAATAAATTGATTAATATTTGCATCGCTGAATTTCCTCTTATACTCAAAATGTACCTTTGAACCAATATTTAATTTGGTGGCTTCACTATTATTGATAATACTCACAATCTTGTAGCCTATCGGGTAGATGTAGTCTTTGGTGTGGAAGGCCTGTAGCTGATGAGGAAGTAGTTGACCTAAGTTAAGCAGTATCAACGAGCCAACCCTCATCACATAGTTGTGTTCTGTATGGTACATGACACTCGCCACTTGTCTGTTCTCGTCTCGGTTCACATACACTCGTCGCATCACAGCCAAAGTTGTCAGTTCGTTATTCTTTTCAGTCTTGCTTACGTGCAAGTTGCAGTAGATTGTCTGAAAATATAATAATATTTAAAACTTACTCATACACAGTTTTATTCTCAAAATGTTGACATAGGATATAACAAAGTACTATTTTTAATCTCATTTACACAACCCTCAATAACACGATAAGCTCAATTACAAGTCCACTTTTCATATCTCTTTGAAAACGCCACCACACATAATGTTCAATTAACCTCTATAAAACGGCTAATTCAATCAAAACTGTAACACACAATTTTTCCTGAATATACACTGCAACTTAGAATCTCTATAACAAATAGTTTTTAGATATCAACCTTATAAGAGGATCTGTATTGAACAACAGTTCCCAGAAGAATTCATCAGAACGGATGTTTTAGAGGAAATATCGTCAATTCAGACTCAGGTAGCCTACTAGAACAAGCCTAGACTTGAAAGCTCCAATACACCCCACTCTATAAAGCGAACATGATTGCCAGAATTTTTTATCAAACGTATATTTTATTTACATACTCACATTCAAATGGATTTTAGTTTGTTTTAAAACAAAATTAACAGTACTACACTATGAATTATAATTAAAAAATAAACTTATTAGCATAAACATCTCTGAAATGCTTTCATTATTGTTCAGTGTTACATGAGTTAACACAACTTCTAGCCAAAATAACCTTGATAACAAAACCCTGAACCAGAAAAGCACCTCAATAACACAACTGTTTCCCTAATTCTCTCGAGACACCTCTTATCGAGGTTCTACTGTAGTTGCAAATGGAACTAATCTATTTTAAAGCTGATATCCAACCTTGTTCTTATAAAATACACATTGGTCCTTGATGGCACAAGGCAGGTGGTACATGACAGAGCAGCGCAGTTTGTAGCACTTGAGTGTGGCTCCAGTTCGACCACAAAGAGCACAAGTAGCCGTCAGACTCTGTTGCAGCACAGTCTCTACGTTCATCAGAGCTCCGTTGACAGTCTCGTAGACTTCGTCTGACCACAACGCGCAGTTCAAATGGACCCACTTGTCAACATCATAGTTGAGTAATCTAGCACATCAAAATAAAAACATCAATTAACAATTAACCATTCAACCAGCAAACTTTGTAACAACTTTGTATGAAAAAGGCAAACTTTTTGTATTATCGCACAGCAATGTAGATTATTTAAGTTATCATACCTAAATTCCCAAGAATTGAATTTAAACTCAGTTCTAAGGCATCATTGTGGTATAAGCAGATTAAATATTACAGATAATAGCTTATTAATTACAGTATACTTCCTCTTATTCAGAAACCTTTTAACCGGACATCGGTTTAACTGGACTACACTCTGCACAAGTGATATCTTTAAAACATAAAATTTGTTATCAGCAAATCAATATAAACGGACTAGTGGGCGGAACTGAAACGACTTTGCTATTGGAAAGAATTGGGACCCGCGATCCCGTGTCTAAATACATGTACTCCCCAATTTTAGTAAAATATTCGGGTTAGTTTTCGAGTGATTGGCGTGTGGTTCGTCAGTTGGAAAAACTGTTATTCGGCCTGGCCTCAGTCCCAAGGAATTCAGATAAGGAGATTACTCTAAAACCACTCACTTAAAATAAGTAACCGATGGATTTAATCCATTCAACTATACACAAATAAATATAGATTTTATTTCATAACTTTTTAAATAAAACTACAAAAAAGCTACATCATACCTTGCTGGTCCGTCTGCTACTCCGTCACCGATCTGATGACAGAACAAGCAAACTCTGGTGTCATCAGGCAGCTTGGGAGGCATCACTGTGATCCCCATGCGGAACAACATCTAAACACAACACACATTACAACAGGAACAACATGGGCAGAATCTACTAATTTTAGAACATTGGAGCTTACATTACATGTGTATAGAATAAACAAAGACAATGTGACGATTAACCCATTGACGGATACTTACGTGTGTAGTTTGTTTAACCTTTGTCACGCCTTTTGTGTGAGGCCTTTCGTCACGAGATAGTCGTACGGCTAACACACTGGCTCTCAAGTAGTAGCCTAAATCGAATCTAACCTACGAGCGCTTCTTTCCTTTCTCCTCCATAACAATTCTAAAGCCAAGTTGCTTTTTTCCTTTAAAAAACTACACTTATATAAATTACAGTAACTGTAGGAAAAATTTAATGTGTAACACAAGTGCAAACTACCTTTGCTGCACTCGTGTTCAACAAAGTGCCACTTCACCCACTAGTTACACAAATAACTATTTTCTGTTAGTAAAAAAATTATTCCGGCATCAATGGGTTAAAGACAATGCAGTGGAAATCAGATGAACAGAAAGGTTTTTTTTAACACAGAAAATAATGAAAACAATGGTAGAAATGTTAAAATTGATATTTAAACATTGAAAACTTTCAAAATACACAGTGTATAATTATGTAATAAGCACATTAATTAAACTTAAGGTTTGAGTAGTGTATACACTTATCTGGGCAATAATTTATGTAAAGCTCCCATACCTCAGTCATTTCTTTGTCAGACGGCCGCTTGAACTTATTAGCTGGGGGAGGAATGGAATTGCTGTTGAAAACTCGATATTTTATCCCCTTCAGTTTTGGTTTCTCTTTCACAACCACAGCTGCTTCTTCCTTTATAGTTTCTGGCCTCAGGTTTATCTCCTAAAAGTTCAGAACTGATAAGAATGATTTCTGGACTTAACAAATTGAGTTGTACTGTTTTGGGGTCTAAATAAAATGCTAATTAGTAAAAATTACTTTGAAATTTAAATTAAAAATTTAATTTAAAATTTATAGTTTTTGCTATTATTGAAAGTTTTTGTTGCATGTAAAAGTACTACAATATATGCAAAAAGTGTGCACAGATGAAATATCAATTTTCAAACGATATAACTTACAGTCTTGAAAGTCGGTTCCTCTTTGATCTCTTGTTTGATTTTCTTTTTGATCTCATCCACAGAAAGTCTTGCCTTCTTGGCTGGGGCCGGATCCGACTGAGACAGGTGGTCCACAACGGCTGCAGCCTGTTAATAATTAATTAATAATTTCTTAAATAAAAGCCCAATTGAAGATATTGTTGTTCTGGTTACTAGTGGTTGTGATGCCAAAACTTGGACTTACTTTTTGTATAATCTTACTAAAAAATTACTAGCAACAATAAAACACTTTTCTTCTCTAGACCAATTTAAATTATTTGGGTCAATTTAAAAAAAAATGTTTCAGAGGGTTTATGTACTTCCTAAAGAACTATAGGACTATAGAACACAAAAGCTGTATAGCTGAAAAAATTATGTGTATCAAACCATTTCTGTATGGCTCACTCCAATTTGTTTTAGGATTAACCAGATCGATGTAAAATAGAGGTCACTAATGTTAAACAAAGACACAAAAAGGCATAAGGCAACAAAAATTTTTTTTCAAATGTCTTACAAATATAAAATGATAAATTAATTATGAGAAATTCATAAGATATGATACCTTATCTTGCGTAATGGCTGGGGTATGTTGAGCCAAGGCTATCTGCATGTAGCAAACTGTGCTGCAGAAGTACAAATCCTCCGTTCCATCCTCACGAGCCAGGAACGGCATCTCAGAGGCCTTCTTACGAATCAAGTTGTTAAGGATGATGACATCACAATGTCTGCAGAACTTGGCTTCTCCGTTCAAGATGCTTTGGATATCCACTGGAGCTGCAACAGATAATTATCGTTAAGTTTAAACAGCATAACAATTTTTTTGTTATCTTGGGTTCAAGAACTTGAATTGTATTAAATTCGTGTTAGTGATAAGATAGCTTAAGAAGAATTCCTGAAGAAATCGTAAATAAGTCATTGACTTGACTTTTATGAAAAAGTACAAGTTCAAAATATCAAATAAAAAATCAATTAACTTTTTATTTACGACAGTTTGGTGAAAGTACTTATTTTCTACCAGTCACGTCACTCGGTATGTCAGATGGTGTTCTTTTATTTTACCTTTTGTATGTCTTTGTTATGAATCAAGCTTTGTTATATTAAATCAACTTACCACCCTCCTTTCCATCTTTGCCTTTGGTTCTGTACAACCCCAACTTGTGGCTTGGCGGGGTGACAGTTCGCTCAGTGATGTGATATGCAGTCGGGGCTGGGATACGTAGAATGTTTGCTGTGAACATGAAAACTCAGTAAAATATCCATGTTCAGAAAAAGAAATAACAAAAACTTGGGAGTACTTAAATTCCTAGTTAGAAACTATGGACACGAAAACACTCCTATTGGTCAGATTTATAGATTTAAACTGTGCAATTGTTCTTGTCAGTTTACAAAAACATGATTAATGAAAATCAGTCAATATTGTAGTTGGACTGCAAACTGAGGCATCAATAGTGTAAATTTGTGTACCACCGCCAATAGCTTATAGTACCTTCACTACTTACTGCTCGCTTCGCTGGATTGTACGCAGGCCGGAAACCTATGTGGGCAAGCTAATACAATGATAACCAAAGCACCAATCATTAATCTTACCTAGATTACGAAGAACACCGAGGACATCATCTGCTGCAGACGAGGTCAAGGTCAGGGTCACTGTTACATTAGCCGAGTCTTTCAGAGGCACAGAAGGTGAAACACGGGATTTTATCAGAGAGTTCTCTCTGAAAGCATTTTCCTTGTCCTGAAAGGAAAACAAGCAAAATCAGTTAAAAGTGGTTAAAGCAGTTTTTTGTTTATTCTGAACTTTGAGTTAGTATGAGTTTAATAGTGACATTATCATGATAATCAAAACTAACAAGTGTAGTGTGCAGTATAAAAACCCAAGGTAGTCTTATTCCTTAATGGTTAATTTATAGTGATCTTTAAGAAAATATTTGAACTATTTTGGCAGCCAGCAAATACAGAAAAAAAACTTAACAAATTAATCCAAGAGCAGTTCAACAGGTTGATTGAAATAACAGTTGTATTAAAGAGTTGGATAAACTTTATACTAACCATTTCACTGATAAGCCGCTCCCGAGGTTTGATTGCTGTTGGAATAACAATAGGGATGATCGGAGACCTTCGATACATCTTCTGCTCTTCTTCCGAATCATCTTCATCAATCAACCGGAGACCTGGGTGGCATCAAATCAGAATATTGTCCAATAGAAAAGTCAGGACTTAACTAGGTAAGAGATGGACAATTCCTGTTTCAAAGGAAATTTTACGAGAGAATTTTACAGCCTTATTATGTAATACTTGAGTGAATAATATCTACAGACTGATAAAATTCTTTTTCTTCTATGAAAATGTGAATAAATTTAACGGCTTGCTACATTGAAATCCGTGATATTTTGACATCTTATGTCAATAATATTTTGATAGGATGTTCACAATACTCATACTGTAGAGATATTAAGTAGATTACAACAAATTAACAAGATTACGGTGAAATCACAAAAGTAGATTTCTTATTGTTTGGATGTGTTTGGTTCAGACTCTGGACGGTTCGGTTGGACAGCTTTGTTGGTAGCCATCCAAACAAACAAGTCACAACCTGTTTTTCTAGCATTGATTGCAGTTACTGATTTTGTACACATATTTGATTTAAAAAAAGAATCCTATCATATTTGTACTAACTTTTGTTGGATCTATGGATTATTATTATTATTTTGCAAAACCAATGCTGTCCAGAGAAGTGGAGTGCAATCTAAAACTAACCTGGATATCTGATGAAAGGTTCCGGAACCACGAGTTCAGGAGAAGATGAGCTGACGATGGTGTCAGGAGTATCATTGTCTCGATCTCTGTTCAGTTCATGCTTTCGATCATCAACTAGAACAAAATAAATATTAATACAAACATGTAATAACACCCTCTGAACTTGAGAATATCAAAATGTTGAGGTCAAAGATTAAGCAACACTTTAAGTAAAGTTCAAACGTAAAAATTGTTAAATAACTCACAAAATTAGATTCTTTTATTTTCTTGACCTAGAACTGATTTTAAAGCACAAAATAATTCCTCCTTTGGAAAAATGTGATTAGAACTAACAAAGACGTTCTTTACTTTTATTAAATTGATTGGTTTATCAGGAAAAAAATATTAGGTCACAGTGAACACTGCTTGAATCCTGTAATCTTCCAAAAGACTCAGTTATCATCAGTTTATTTTGCAAATAACATACAATAAAAACACATTTACAATAAGAAGTAAAGACTAAAGATTATATCAGAATCAGACACAGCAGCCTTCATCAATATTGGGACTTTATCCTACCCCACCAAATTTTTATCTACAAGCAAATTAATATTTGTAACCTCTTTACTAAACCATTGTAGCAGACAGCTTAAAATAAATAAAGTAGTTTTCTTTAGATAAGTCACCAATCCATGATGTAGTAAGACAAGTTAAAGTTGTAGAACATACGGAAGAGCGTGACAAAAATTTAAGGTACAGAGGTAACACTCAATGGTACACTTAAGCGGTGTCTAGCACTAGCTGGTGTCTGGGCAAAGTACAACACTGCCCCTTCGCCCTCATGCACTACTCAACTATGTGGAAGGCTACAACGTGGAGGAAGACCCTGTGGAATTTCTGCACAGTGTTCACCGTTCAGGCTCTTTCTTGCTCGTCACAAATATATTTCCGACCTAAAATACTAGAGCTGAAAGCGCACGGTAGTCTCATTATAAGCATGTTTCCTCCGTACCTTACTTCACTGTGTATGTATGAACTAAAAATGAAGGAGATATCAGTATACTTACAATCATCTTTACAAGAGTCAAGTCGCAGAGGAGAGAACTCCTCATTGTAGAAGCCTCGCTGCGTAGAAGGCGTGGAGGGGGGAGGGTGAGGTAGCAGTTCCCCATACGGCACAGTGTTGTAGTGGTCTGTGTCATTGTACATGGCATTGCCATAACTACCTTTCAGCTCACCTGTGCGGGAACTGTAAAGTAAATAGAAAATATTAGCTTTAGCCTATTTTTAGCAGCAAACATAAGTTCTCTTTAAAATTAATGTTGTTTTGAAATAATAATAAATCTGTCAATTTTAAGGCAATATTTTAGTGGAAATCCAGCCAGGTTGATGGAAATTTGCTTAGTCTGCAGGTTTGCTGCACCGTGGGTATTTTATAATAAAATTGTTGATGAAAGACATAAACGATGCTATAGTTTTACAACAAGATGACCTCACAGTTGGTATACTTTAAAAATAGGTATTTAAGAAATAGAAAACGTGTTTAGATCAGAAGTTTTTTTTAATTCTTCACTTATTACAGCTTGAATGTAGGTATAGAATGTTTACTCTGCGGGAGTGTTCAATTGTCAAAAGTGAGACACTTTGCCAATCAACTATTACAAGGACAAAGTATGTATGAAAAAAATGAACTATTTTAATTGTCTAAGGTTGAAATATAATCTAATAGTTCACATTACAAATAAATTTAAAACTTTAGTAAAAGGTAAAAGAATATAGACTACTTTAAAGTAGTTTGCTTAGAATTTTAGATTTATGTTTTTCGTACAACAGTTAAGAGCAACACAAAGATAATATTTTAAACTTAATGAAAAAGAATCTTCACAATAGAATAGAATAAGGTTCTGTACGGTATTGTAAAAATTCAAGCCAGATGGATGAAAAAACAAATAAAAACCACAATCGTAGAATAAGTGGTCTCATATCATATTTATCATATAAGTTTATTACTAAACCAGAAAATACAAAGACTTACTTCAAGTGTATCTTAGCCAAATCGCCAGAGCCGAAGATTGGACAGACAGAGAAGTTACGACTCAAACTCGGCTCCAAGACAGACATCGCTGGCGACTGACGAAGCTGAGCCATGAGCGAGTCAATGAACGAGTCATAGTCCTCTTCCATTTTAGAGCTCTGTGATAACAGTAAAAGTAAAAAAAAACATTAATAAATAAAAATAACATGAGAGATAAAGTAGTACTGTGTTTAACGCTTTGAATATTCTGGACATGTTGAATCATGTAATTGTACTGTACTGTATCATGTAATATCCTGTATCATGTAATCAGTACTGCATTCTTTGTAAGTAGTATGTAGTATGCAGTAAAATGAAACTGATTTGTATACAATTTCTCTTACCTTTCTTGGTCTCTTTTTGGGAGTGAGACCATCCTTGCCTTGACTTTGCCTTCGTTTCTGTTGGTACTGACGTCGCTTTAACTTCTTGAGATCTAAAACGACAGATTCATTACTTTTACCACAATTCCTCTTAAAAATCTTGTGAAAACATTTAAGATAAAATATGCCCTATACAATTCTGAGCATAAAAGATTCCTCATTTCAACTCAAAACAAATTTAAATACAGTAGAACATTTGATTATCCGGACCCTGCAGAAATCCAACTTGTTGCTTTAAAAAATTGTAGCCTAAAAGATATATTTTGTATGACATTTTATATTAAAGTACAAACATAATATTTATTCCTGAACCAAATATTGGTTATTGTATTTCAAGTAAAGTAGTTTATCACCCGCAACACCAAACTGCAATACTACTGTACTGGCAAGTGGCAATAAATCAAAGGATGATACATGGAACTTGCATACACACTCGTTACCTGTTCATAAAAGAAAACATTGCTTCTGGACTGCACATTATGAAAATATTATTATTATTTTGGCCACAACATGTCAGTCATTGTTTTTCACAGCATTATATTAGCTTCACCTCTTAAATTTTCATCTTACTTGAATGTACTCAATATTTTTTTAACCTACACATGAATTTAACATTCAACATAACTTTATTCGTGATTTAGACATCATCCTTTTATACACTTCTTATGACTAAGTAGTAGGGGTCTGCCGTACAGAAAATTTAAGGTCGGTACGGTTCGGTACGGTACAATATTTTGTACCTCGGTTCTCGGTACAAAATCAGTACGGTACGCGGCTACTCGTATTTTTGTGGTTTTCTTCTCAGATCTGTATTTGAACCATTATTTTTAATTTTAATACATTGACATTACTATGAAAATGGATAGTATCCTACATTCATGGTTTTCTAACAACAATTACTGTACCACACATTTAAAACCTTTTACTCCTACGAGGATTGTGTCAAGAAAAATCACAGTTAAGATAAAGGCTTTACCTATTTTACTCTGAGATACTTTGAATAGCCATGATAAAAATTATTTCCAACCAATACAATGTCTATTTTTTTTTTTAACTTTTAAAAACATATAAAAGCATTCAGTACAAAGCAGTGTAGTTGACAGCTATTCACATTCAACAGATGACAATGAAAAACAGGATGTTATGATGAAGTAATGGCAAATAGCATCTTTTTTATCAGCTTGAAAACTAATTATAAGATGGATACATCTTTTGCAAAGTTTTTTTCTTACACTAAAATTTGGATTACCACAGAGTAATATTATTGTCTTTTCATTTACAAAGTTAACATCCACACATATCAATCATTAGTTCATTAACTCAGACTCAATCCAATTTTCTAATCTAATTTTTTTTTAAGGATCTTCCAAAGAGTCAAAAGACCCAGGCCTAGACCTAATTATTTAGGATGGCCTATATAAATTGAGTAGGTTACAATAAGGGTAGCAAAATCACTATAATAATTCTAGTTCATAAGATTTAGATTGCATAAAGTACCTTCAACACAATAAAAAATCTAAGAAACAAAAAACATTTCAACCTTAACAGCCACATCCAAAAATATAAGACAAGATACAGAACATGCAATGACATTAATTTAAGACCGAGTAGGCTTGCATAACGGAAAAAAATATGCAAACAAAAACTACTACGCTTGTGGTTTCATCAATAGAAAGATAAATTATCCATAACAAATATCTTAACTTATAAAATAAGATTGTAGATTAGTAAGACTTTAATATGAAGCCATAAACAGTTTTATGGCAGTAGGCAATGGCCAGCGGCAAATTGAATATTCACGAAAATACTGACTGAGTTAGAAATAACATTTACAGTCATCATAAAACTATTATTTTTATGATAAAATAGAATTGGGGAAAGTCGTAAAGGAATAAAAGTGATAAAACTCAACAGTTCTTGGAAGTACTTGAATACAACAATTATTGTCGTGATAAAATGTTAATGGATTTGGGACTGATAATGGGTTTTTTATTGTCATCACCCTAGTAATAAATTATGAAGATCGTAAACAAACATCTGATAAGACTTTTTTGTGCTCAGAACCAACCACCGTTGACTATGATAAGTAATTTATTATTATAATAGGCTGTACCGAACCGAATTTGTACCGCATAAAATGCTGTACCGAACCGATGACGGTAATTAAGCTTGTACCGGACCGACTTTTTCGGTGCACCGCAGACCCCTACTAAGTAGTGTCTTCAATTATATCACCTGCATTCATTTCAATCATATGTATATTACTCAGAGGAGCAAATAATAAAATATTAATACAGTAGTAATAATAATCACAATTAATATTATTTATTATTATGAGTATAGAACAAAACCAGGATGAAATGGGTCTCCTAAAACAAAAAAATAGGGATCGCTGCTGTAGGCAAATGTATATAACACAAAATATCCCTTCTGGAATTTTTTCAAAAATTGATGGATAAAATTATTGTAAATAATTGAGAACAGTGTCATACCTTGGGGGTCTAGAGGCATGCTGGATGAATGGTCCATTGCTCCAGTATCCATGGGGTCCATGGTGCGTATACCAGGAGAGATCATCTCATCAGAGGACATGACTTCTTTCTTGACCTCGACCATGACGGGTGCTGGTGGAATGGGACTGGCCTGGGGTGGAGGCCCTGTCATGGGTTCACGCTTGATCTGAGCAGGGGTGAGTAGCGGCTCTCTCTGACCACAAGACAAATAAACGGTATCAGCAATCTGACACATACCTTATGCCATTACCTTGTCAACAATCATGGGTAAGCAGTGAGAGTAACTCTGATATTTTATTTGCAAGATCACAAAAGTTGAAATAACTTTTGAACCGTAATTTTAACAGCAATTGGGTTTGTACAAATTTATTTAGAGTTAAAAGGACTATGTATAACAAACTAAATTTTTTATCAAACAGTTTGTTAAATTTTTGTAAAAATCCAACTTTTCTGTTGTTTTAAGGGTTTTATGGAAAATCGCCATTAAATAAATAAAAAAAAAAACACCTGAAGGTACCAAATACCCACAGAACAAATGTCACCAAAATCGGACAACAGATGTGATCTGTAGCTCTGTGCACATACACACACACACACACACACACACACATACACAAAGAAATCACTTTGAAAACTAAATGATTGGGTTCAGGGGAAAACGGATAATTCCACCTACACCCCAAAACACACACTCAAAAATTTTGACAAAAACAATTCTTTCTCCATATATTATGTATGGGAAGAGGAAGTACAGTAAACCCTCTCTTATCCGGATCTCCCATATCCGGACCCTCCGATATCCGGACGCGATTTTGAAAAAATGCAAAAATTAAAAAACACTCTAGGGCGAATGTTTGTTGACCGAGCAGTCGCTGTTTGTAGGCCGGTTAGAGACGCCGGCGCGCCGGGAGGGTTGTGCGACGTGCAGTCTCGCGGGCAAGGTCACTGACTCACGAAACAAAAATAGAATCCCTCCCCCACCCCTCCTACCCGCCCGTTCTACCCACGCCAACGCCCTACTCATGCGCGGCGACGACAATTCATCAATCGTGTCAGTTGTCAGTGCTGCTTTTTTTGTGCCTCAGTGACCTAGTCTTTGTTTGTACGGTTCGTTTTAGTTTCGGGAAGGAAGAGTGCTAGAGGCTAATAAATTGTTATGGCCGAAAAAAGAAAAAAGATTGTCATTAGGATGGAGGACAAACTTAACGCGTTGAAACGTTTGCAAGCGGGCGAAAGTGCAAAAAAGATAGCGAGTGAGATGGGAGTGGGGACTAGTACAGTGAGTGACTGGAAAAAATCCCGTGAAAAAATAGAAAAATGGTGTTCTAACCAGGCATCAAGTTCAGGAATAAAAAAGTGCAAAATGATGAAAACAGCCGTGAATGACAAAGTGAACGAAGCGTTATTTTTGTGGTTTACACAATGTAGATCAAAAGGACTGCCCGTGTCTGGACCCATTTTGCAGGAAAAGGCTCTCCAATTTAATAAGGAAATCGGAAGTGATCCCAATTTCAAAGCCAGTGAGGGGTGGTTGGAAAAGTGGAAGAATCGATATGGGGTCAGAAAGCTTCATATAAGCGGAGAAAAGTTGTCAGCAAATGAAAACGATGTGGGAGAGTTTAAAATGTTTTTACACAAGCTGCTTGACGAGGAAGGAATCAGCGGGGACCAGTTATACAACTGTGACGAAAGTGGTCTGAACTTTAAAATGCTACCTAGCTGCACTCTCGCTTCCAAAGAAGAAAATAGCGCTCCAGGTTATAAGAAGAAAAAGGAGAGGGTTACAATAATGGCCTGCAGCAACGTCACAGGAAACAATAAACTCAAACTCTGCATGATTGGAAAATCTAATAAACCAAGAGCGTTTAAAAACTTCAAAGATCAGTCGACATTACCGGTGTGGTACAGAGGACAAAAAAGCGCTTGGATGAATTCTGCGATCTTCAGAGAGTGGTTTAACAATCAGTTCGTCCCGTCTGTTGAAAGGTTTGCTGAAAAAAACAATTTGCCAAAGAAGGCTATTTTATTGCTTGACAACGCCCCTTCACACCCGTCTGCAGATGAACTAACAAGTGGAGAAATAAAGTGCATGTTTTTGCCGCCGAACGTAACCTCTTTGTGCCAGCCAATGGATCAGGGGGTCCTTGAAACACTTAAACGTTTGTATCGACGTAAGCTACTGACGATCATTATTGAGGGCATGGATGTGGGAAAGAGTGTTTCTGAGTGCCTTAAAGACGCTGACATGCTAGATGTTGCCTTGTGGATTTCTAGCGCTTGAGAAGAGCTCAAACCGATAACGTTGGTTAAATCGTGGAAAAAGCTTTTAGACCACAAAGTAGACCAAGATTATAACAAAGAAGTAGAAAAAGAAACAGAAAACTGCAATGACAAAACAGATGAAGAAATCGTTGAACTTTTTAGAAACGTTCCTGGTTGTGACAACATAGATAGTGACGCAGTGAGTGAGTGGATGAAGGAAGACGAAATCCAGGAGTTTACTGACAATGACATCATAGACTTAGTTAACGCAGACCCCGCTCCTGACGACGACGAAGAAGAAGAAATCCAGAAAACAACCATGACGCATAGTGAGGCTTTCCAGGCCATCGAACAGCTGATCGAGTATGTCGAGAAACAAGAGGAAGCAACGGGAGCCGATCTTCTGCTTTTTCGTAGGTGGAGAGACATTACGTCAAAGAAGCGTGTTAATCGAGCCAAACAAGCCACAATAACATCGTTTTTGTCCAAAACTTAACTGTGAGTACAAAGTAAGAGCTGTTCTCGTAGATTAATTTTATTTTACTCTGTATACAGCTCTACATTTTTGTTCATTACAGTAGGCCTACTTGTCTTTTTCTTAGTTCCATTTCAATTTTTTCACTGTCCCGTTACTGTATTACGTAATATTTTTTGAGTTTTGATGTTATATTAAAGTGTTTTTCTTAGTTTTACTTCATTTCTTTCACTGTACTGTACTGTATTACGTAATATTTTTTGAGTTTAGTTGTTCTATTACAGTGTTATTATAACCAAAATACCGTTGTTTTATTTAATAAACAAACGTTTCCGTATTTAAGGCTTACTAAAATTGAGTACCGTAGTTGTTGTACAGCTGTTTTCTCATCTAAAACAATGTTTCTCTCATATCCGGATTTTTTGTTATCCGGATCGGCCGGCGCCACATTAGTCCGGATATGAGAGGGTTTACTGTAATAAATAAAACTTCAAATAGGATATGGTTGTAAAGGATAGATTGTGCTGGAGGTGTTGCAATCAATGGCAGTTTCGGTTTGATTAGGGGTCGGTTGGTCAAAGCAAGGTGCCCAGAGGACAACAGAGAAAGTTAAGTGATAAAGACAAAGACATAAGTTGTGTCCAATCGTGTAGGTTGGAGACAATTTGGAAATTGGGATTTAAATTGGTTTGTGTTTGATTTTTGACACCAGTTAAAAACCAGTTAAATTGAATAAGAAATTGTTGGGACATTTGATGAACTGCTTCCAGGACGTTCCTTTTTTACCTTTTGGACCATTTTGCACATTTCAGTGAATCCAAATTAGATTTCAGTTAATGATTTGTAAAAATGATATTTTTTTAACAACTACAAGGTTTAGGCTACTTCAAAGAGCTATGCTCCCTTGTGTTTAAGTCAGTTGTCTGAGGGGAAGTTTGATGAGTTATGAATTTGGTATATGAACGTGGTAATATGAAGTTTGGTGAATGAACTCTTTGAAGTAAAATATGTTCTTACCTTGATGGCAGGACTAGTGGGAGAGAGCAGTTCATCCAAAGTAGAAGTGGGAGTGTCTGTTGACATTCTACGAGGTTCTTGAACTTGCATCGGCAACGTCTGAACATTTACAGTTGGATTAAAGATAATAAAGATGATATGTACTTAGAAGCAAAATGTTAATCACTTCTATAGAAGTGTTACCATAACGTAAAATGTTATAAAAGACAGGTAGAGTAAGAGTAAGTCATGTATTTACTTTAACACCACCACTATGTTTACCTGCTGAGTGCGTATTGGCAGCGGTTGAGGTGGCGGTGGTGGGGGTGTCGGGGGTTCAGGTGCAACAGTGTTAACAGCTGTAGTTGTGGTAGCACAAGTTGTTGCACACGCTGTGTTTTGCAACAGCTGCTTCAGCAACACATTCTGCGAATCATCCGTAATTCTACCTCCTGGACCAATCCTGAAAAACCGAGCAAGTTAAATACCCCAAAATACAACAGGATTGATTCATTAATTAACTATCACAAACAATTTTCCTCTCCGACTTATTCTTTGTTTATGTAAGACTGCATAGTTAGATTTTGATTTGAGTAAATGATCTCTGACAATTAATATTAATGATGTTTGGACAACCTTTCAAGGAAATTAAAAAATCGTGGTTAAGGCTATAAAAAACTTAGGTAGAAGAGGTTATCTAATCAATTTATGAAATAAAAACAATAATATATTGTACATAATTAAAGTTTAAGTGAATACATAATCTTATTTTAAGTGAATTACAAACCAAACCAAAGATTTCCAAGCAGATAGTTTATTGTGATCAGTATTAAATTGGCAATAAATTGTGATGATTAAAAATCCATTTAAAGCTGCTAATGGTGAACTGCAATGGGTTAGAAATATGTACAGCATAAGGATTTATAACTTTTTAAACCAGAAGGAACTTCATAAGCAGATTATATTTTTTAATTGAAATTAAAGGCTACGATGAATAGGATATAAAATAGTGACAACAGTGTAAAATAAAACCAAAAGAACCCATTAAGTGCTAATCTAATATCATGAGCATGGATGAAAAGATAAAAAATGGAACTAACAAGATATTACAGAATAGAATGTACAGCAAGTGGCTGAAAATGTATAAAGTCAAAACCTTAAAACAAACCAGATACAAACACCTGTTGCCATTTTATTGTTAAGCTGAAAGCAGACTACCTACTTTAGAAACTGATGGTACTGTGTGTGGATTTAATTTCATTTCATTATGTTTGTGGAAATTGTAGACAAGAACAGAGAAAAATAGGCCTATGGCACACATACTACAAGGCACATAATCTTGTACAAGCCCTCAAAATACAACAAAGCATTCATGGTAAGGATAGCTCGGGAAGCATGCAACAAATGGTGTCACAATTACCTTTTATCATCTGGCTCTGTCTTAGGCGTTAGGATAGATGACAAAGGAATGAATTGTGAGGAGCCATCCTTTGAGTCCCTTTGTAGACCAGTGAGAAACACAGGGTTTGCTTCTGAGCTTGATACTACTTTCTGTTGAAGATTTTCCATTTGTGGTTGTTGATGGGTCCTCGACATATTCATATCTGAGAGACGACGTTCAATATGTGCGTGAACATTAGTTCCTCCACTTATCAGCTCTCCTAGCCTTGTTGGAACTACTTTGTTGCTGGTAATTGTAGAACTCGAAGAGTAGTTTACAGGTTCTGTTTCTTGTTGTTGACTTACGACGGGTTTCTGATCGTAGAAAGGCTGCTTTTGACGAAAAAGATCAGAGATATTTGTAGGGGGTCTTATTTCTTGTTTAATTGTTTGGGTCATTTCCAATATCGGTCTTGGCATCTGGTCTGAATATACAACAGTGTTTCTCTGATTTCCATCTGGGATTTCTTTCTCGTCTGTCTTGATGTTCTGATGCACATATATATTACCGATCCGTCTGATAGCTGGCTGAGCTGCCGCTTCTTGATGGGTCATTACAGAGACTGGCAATTTTACATCTCCAGTCATCTGACTTTGGCTTTTGACAAGTTGAGATATGTTGCTTTGATTCATCACAGTCTCACTGGCCCGGTACAAAGTCAGGCTTTCTGGGTGAACTTTGTTATTGTCATAAGTTACAGACATATCCGTCAAATTCAAACTACCACTCTGAGAATCTTTGGCATGCTCTTTATTCATTTCTCTCATGTGGTCTAGAAAAGAGAATAACGTCTTTGAAGGGGAGCTCACAGCAGGATTTCTTGGAACTACAACGTCTTCTCGAGTAGAAGCAGTCAATTGGGCTTCCAAAATACTAGAGCCGATGTTAGTTGTTTCTTCCGGTTGTGTTGTTTTTCCCTCACTGATAACGCTGACTTGAGTGATCACAGAAGATTGCTGAGTAGTTGTTAAGCTTTTGTTACAGATAACACCCGGATGTCTGACACCATCAGAACTGAAGTTTTGGATTGTGTTACTTTGACTTGATGGAATATCTGATCTTCTAACCTCAGAAGCTTCAGATGTTCTCATGGACTGAGGCTCATTTGAAGCTAAAAGAATTTTACTATAACTGTGTGCTTTGGTAGGGTGAGGTCCAGGAGGCATTTCGGATTTGACTTTTTCTTCAGGTCTATTCATATTTTGAGCTTGAGCGACACTATCGACAAAATGTTTCTGAAATCCTTCAGGAATCTCAGAGACACTAGGTTGTCTGGTAACAGAGGCAGGAAATGATTTCAAAACATTCTTATCATTCTCGTTTGAATCAATCTTTTGATTTATAACTTCTATCTTTAATAAACCACCAGCTTGTGACAATATGGGCATATAGTGAGTGTTTGAAGATGAAGATCCCGTGTTTGTTATTCTCGCAGAAGATGAAAAAGGCACAGACATTCTTGGCGGAGCTATTAGGGTGGTCCCTGTGGTACTTACGACTCCAAGAGAAGGTATTGTCGAAGGTGTTGAAATCAAGGTAGGAATCAAGTTTCCAGCAATCGATACTCCTTGAGGAAATTGCTTCTTTTCAGCAGCTAGTTTAGCAGCATTCACGGCATCTTGTACTAAATTGGCTACTGTTGCTTGCTGGACAGCTATTACTGATCTCCCATCTGCTTTGATCAAAGGGAAAACATGCCTAGGAACTCCCCTAGGATAACTGGGGTAAGACACAGCTGGTCTAGTTAGACCAGGGATACCGATATTAGCCTGGTGAGCACTCGAGGGAGGTATTTGAGTACTGGATGGTAACACTAAGGGAAACACTTGTTTAACTGTTTCTGACCTATCTTTGTCATCTTTGTTTTGTTCAGGTAGAGTTGATGTTGCAGGTTCGGTTTTCTCAAAAGTTGTTGAGACTATTTCATTATCTGCTTCAGATAAGGTATCAGGGGAGTGGTCGTTATTTCCTTCTTCCTGATCTGGTGAATCAGGCGTGTCTGTAGTACTATCTCTTTTCTCCTGAAGTTTTTTCAAGGATTCACCTGGTAAAACTTTTCCAACCAGTCTTTTTCTACCAACAGGAGGAGACATACTTTCTTCCATCATCTCAATCACGTCACTCTCATCCTCTTTTGATTCAGCTTCAGCTAAGTCTTCTTCCAAAATAGAAAGATCTTCTTGGACTGATTCACATCCGTCTTTATCAACCATTTCTATGAGACAAGATTCATTCTCCTCCCCTGAACCGGACCGATCGACATCAAGTACTACCAAATTCGTTGAGGAAACAAGGCAGTCGTCTAATACACCATCCACATTTTCGGATTCTAAGTTCATTTCTGTAACTTGGAGATGTCCACCATCTATAACCATAGGCATGGTCATGACATTTCCTTGCAAAGAAGATTGCAATTCCTCCACTTCCAAATTTGTTTCGTTGTCAACTAGAACAATGTCATCATAAACAGTAGATTCATTATCATCAGTTTTTATAGTCTCTTGAGAGCCCATGCCAGAATCAAGACTAGAATTTTTCTTTTGAGGAGATTTAGATGTAGAAGGTGAAGATCTATCTGATTCATCTTCATATTCGTACTGCATGCTAACTACTTTTGCAGGAGATTGATCCTTCTTTGGCCCCTCACCGGTTTTTATCACAGCTGAGGGCCTCTTAGGCGGGGTTCTTTCTCCTCCACCTCCCCACATCGGAGATCCTCCTCTGAGTCCTAACTTTATGTAACCAAATCTACCACCAAATAGTCCCGGAGGAGCAGGGATCATGTTTATATGCTGATTACCTCCTCCACCCCCAGAATTCTGTTCTTGTTGGTCATGCCCACCGGTTCTGGGAGAAGAGTTCTGGCTTTCGCCAGTGCTCGAAGGCCTTCTCATGGGCATTGGAGACACTGGAGGCATTGGGCTTCTAATGGGAGAGTTAGGTCTGTGAACAAATTGACCTTGCTGGATATGCGGACTCATGGGAGAACTCGGGGGTTGGAACTGTCCTCCCGATTGTACTCTGGGACTTTGGGGTGGTCTCGGGGAACTCGGTTGACTAAAGTGATGGGCTCCAGTCATGGGAGAGTTGGGAGTTTGATGATAGTTTTGAGACTGAATCATCGGTGACTGGGGAGTAGTAATCGGACTCTGGGGTTGATAATTCTGTTGTACCCGTGGGCTTAAAGGATGAATTGGAGAGTTGGGAGGTTGATTAGAATACTGAACCATCGGAGATTGTGGATGTGGAGATGAAGTATTTTGTTGAAACTGGGAATTATTTTGGTTTTGCATCGGACTTTGGGGCATCATAGGCGAAGAGTTGGCCTGAAGCTGATTAATCATGGGACTCTGAGGATGCATTGGAGAAGACCCTTGGAATTGAGGGCTTTGAGGGGGCATTGGGCTGGTGGCATTAGAGAAATGCTGAGGCATCGGGGAAGTCTGTCCGAACTGTCCCATGGGACTTCTACTGGGACTCTGTTGGGTCTTGCCAAGCATTTGTTGTCTATTGAACTGCTGCTGTCTTTGGATCATTTGTAGTCTAGCAAGATCCACAGCGGTCTGTAACAGATAAGACATTTCTCAGGCATATTGGATGCTGTTGGAAAGTAAATAGACTACCTCTGACACACAATGTAAAAATATTGAATAAGACAAATCCTTAGTTGCAATGTCCTGAATTTAATGATTGTATTTTAGAATGAATAAAAAGTGTCAAATCAAATCAAATCAAAATAATCTTTATTCATTTTTATATACAATATGTATACATAAATGGTGTCAATATAAAACTATTACTAAACTTAATGACTAACATAGTGTTGCTTAGTTTTTATATGGAATTCATTAAAACTATAAAATGCACCTTAAATTAGAAAAGATTTTAAAACATATTTAAAATTGCCAGAGGTTATTTTATTTTTAATTGAAATTGTTAGGCTGTTAAAAAAGTTAATCCCAGTATAGCTTGGCTTCTTTTTAAAAAACTCTTTGTTATGTTTTGTAATTTGAAAATCATGTCTTTGTCTAGTATTATATTCATGTTTGTTGAGATTTTTTTTATAATGTGCCAATTATGTTCTTTATATAGAGAATAGTGTTAAAAATATAAAGGCTGTAAACTGTCATTATCCCTAATTCTGAAAAATAAGTTTTACAAGGAGTGTCATATTTTAGTTTTGACATAGTTCTTAAGGCATTTTTTGCAAACATAAAATTCTATTCATGCCTTTGTTAAAACCAAAAAAGCAGCTACTGATTGGTTACCTCAAAATTTTTAGACCGGATTGATTTTTATTTTTAAATTGTAAGAATTATTTTATTTTATTTTGAGGGGTATTTTTAATTTTTAATTTGCTTTAACTTAACAAGTGTTTAGAACTTATATTCTGATGGTTCTATGTTGTCCAGGACTAAGATATTTTATTTTATTTTTAATTTTAATGAATAAGTTATATTATTGTTAACTAGAAAAGTTGTTTTATGTAAGTGTATATATTTTTTAAGAGTGACCAGCGAGTGCCATGGACTCTTCCTCACACACAGACGTGTAGTCTTGTGAGGAATATTTTTTCCTTTTATAAACTATGTCACTTTTGATTTATTGTACATTATTGGAAAATAAACAATCTTGAATCTTGAATCTTGAACCTTCATCCAGTTCGTTAATCAAATTTTCAACAAAGGCTATTACAGCTGTTACAGTGGATTTGTTTGGCCTAAAACCACGCTGTTCAGTGTCTAACAAATTATTATTTCCAAAATATTCTGTCAATTGTAATAACATGCATTTTTCAAGGAATTTTGACAAAGAAGGTAGAATTGAAAGAGGCCTATAATTAGATGATTCATTTTTGTTTCCTTTTTTATATAATGGAATTATTTTGGATATTTTTAACTGAGAAGGAAAAACACCTGAAATGAGGCATGCATTTATAACATGAAGAAGTGGTTTGAGAATCGCCCACTTAGCATCTTTAATTATTTTTTTGGGATATCATCACACCCAGAGGACCATTTGCTTTTGATTGAATTTATTATTTGAATAAACTCCTCTTTTGAAATGGTTTTGAACCTAAAAGTATGATTGGTTAATACTGCATCTGTTATTGGTCTATTTATTATTCTCTTATTCATTTTAATTTCAGGAATAATTGTGTTGCCATCTTTAGTTTTATGAAAGATAGGGAATAAGTTATGAATTTGAGTAATATACTCAGAAAGAAGACCAAACAATGCTTGGTAATGTTTTTCATAGGAATTTGTGGCTACATGCTACATTACAGCTAAGGACTTCGAAAATCTAAATGTTTAATTGGGTTTAACAATTCATATACTTTAAATTTTAGATATTTGTTGTGGAATACAATAGGGTTGGGCGAGTACTCGAGTTTAAATGAGTACTCGAAGTTGAGTAGTTCCAAGTACTCTTAAGAGTTTGAGTAGCTGTTTAGGCGTACGTAAATGTTATATCTGATGTTTGTTTGTGACTCCCTTAATTTATTATTAGGGCAATGATGTAATTCAAAACCCATTTGACATTTTATCATGGCAATAATACGTTTTTTATAACGGCTAATAGATTTACATCTTAGGTATGTTTATTTGGAATTCTGATTCTTACTCATACACAGCATTTTTGGCGGGAACAATCAATTTTTCTGTCTACTCTGTAAAACTATCTATTACACTTTTTAATTATCAACGGTCATTTTTTAACTTAAAATATGTTTTTCATGATATTTTATCTTTCAATTGGCACGGCTGCACAAATTATTTTTGCATATAATTTAAGTATGTTTTATTGTCCTTTACTCCTTTATTTTGCTGATGCTATACCTGTGAATTAGCCAGCTCTTGAGTCTGCTGCAGCAGAGCTTGTCGTTGCTGCATGAGCTGTTGTCTTTGTTGTTGAGACATGTTGGGGTCTGACATCTGCTGAGTCAGTAACTCTTGTTGCTGCTGAAGAGCTTGTCTCTGCTGTGCAAACAGCTGTAGCTGTCTCTGTTGCACTGATAAACCTCCAGCCTCCTTCAAACAAAATCACAATAGAACCTTCATAATTGTACACAGCTAAGAGGAGAGTGTTTAGAAGAAACATGTTAGAGGACGTGCAATTCTGTAACATTAATTTTATTTACTATTATTTAATATTTAATATTATTTAATTTACTACAAATCTCTTTTTTGGGTTTGCTGGGCTTTGTGGCCACAGAGAAGTAAAGTACATACAACTGTGCATACAACTTTTACTGTGGGACAACTGTGCGATTTCAGCTCTGGTATGTTGTAGCAAAAAAATTGTGAGCAATAAAGAGCCAAACGGCAAGCACTGGACGGAAACTCCCAGTCCCACTACACGGGGCACAGGGTCTTCCTCCACCGTGAGCATTATAGTAAATGAGGATAAGAGGGGCGGTGTTTGACTTGACCCTATACACCAGCACTAGTGCTAGGCACCAATTAAGTGTACCATGGAGTGTATCCTCTGTTTCTTATTTCCTGTGGCTTGAGGAACGGCTGAATTAATTAGCAACAAAGCTGCACAAGGCATATCACTCCCTTTTACACTCATCTTTCAACCCAGCAGTATTCCCACCTTAATTGAATTGTAGAATAAGGAGGATAGCAGCTAGCTTACCTTGAAGAAGTGCAGGTAGGCCATAGAACCTACAGAAGAGACACTGAACACACAATATTTTGTCCCCTGGGGGGCTTTGTCAAGTGTAGAGAGATTGAAGAGAGTTAACAAAATGGTAAACTGGCAAGCATTTTGTAGATCCTCTTCACTCTCTCTACAATTCTTTAAGGTAAATTAGCTGCTATCCTCCTTATTCTACAATTCAAAAGTCCTGGCCTAGAGCCTTACCTTAAACAAAACAAAGCCCAACCTTAGTTGGTAATGTTAATTATAATCAATTATCACAGATAGTGAATGACCATGTGAATGTGTTCCATAAGTAAAAGTCAATGTTTAAAGAAAATAATTTTTTAGAATACAGAAGGTTTTCACATAAATTATTTAACAAATATAATTACCCAGATGTGTTCAAATTTTAAAATTATTATTAATATAATTTTCATTTTTACTTCCTATGACTGTAAGATGACTAGATGAGTGTGATTACCTGATTCAACTCCTGTTGTTGTTGCAGTAAAGCCTGTCGTTGCTGTTGAAGCTGTTGATGTCGTTGGAGCAACAACTGCTGTTGTTGTTGAGGAGTGAACATCCTCAGTTTATCTTGAGTCAGGAACTGTGTGGGGGCTCGGGGCTGAGGTCTAGGCTGGGTCAACACACCCACACCCACACCATGTCTGCAACAATCAACAAATATGTTAACAGAACTAAATAATTACCACCTTTGCCTTAGTAGTACCAGAGGCTATAGAGAAAGATGCTATTTTTGAAGTAGTCAGAGTTAATGGTTTTAAAACTGACTAGTGGGTACTTACGCACAATAATTAAATAAAGACTTAATATTGAATTGAATCATGAATCGCTTGCCTCGATGTCCCCCCAGTACATGACAGCTGCACTGAGTATTGAATTTACGAATTAAAACATCCCATGTAACTGAGGCCACATTTGGTGTATTGGGAAAAGTTAGTAAAATAAGGTATTAAGTAATAGTGATGGTCAAAAACAGATATTTCAAATCTATACACTGAAACATAACAAATCACATCTTGAATCTCAAAGCCTAAAAGCAAAAAATAAAACTTTTACTTGCCTGGTTATGGTAACAAAAAATGCAAGTAATAAAATGTTAATTAAATATTTTTAACTAAAAGAAATCAGACACCAGACCCCGAAATAATATGAATATGTGGCCAATATGCTTTGAACTTAAAATACATAAATTATGATAAACAAAAAACGTTGAAATAAATTTAACTCCTGACACTGACATAATAAATAACAAGATGAGATAAATTTGAAAGTTTATTTAGTGGTAAATATTTATGTCATAAAATGTTGGCAATTTTGGTTTTAAGTTTAAAATCTTGAAACTTGCCAATCAAATCCAAAAATAAAACCCTTTCAGAATTTTGGTTATTTTGAGAGTTGAGATTCGGTTATCACTACTAAGTGTATTTACTGTCCTTTGAATTAAAATTATAATGAATATATGAAATAATGATGTTTAAAATACAAGACATGAGGGGGTTACCTGACGACAGTTTGCTGTTCCTGAGGGGAGAAGCCTCCAGTTCCCGGACTTCCTGCGACTCCCGGAGGACGGGGAGTGGAGGGGGGAACTGGCGGTCGAGGAGACGGAGTACCCGGACTGAACGGCGTCTCATCGCCCTGCTGAATATAAACAATATTGAACCTCAGTAATTAAAGTGAGGTAATAGTTTAGACATGTCAGTGGGAGCGATAGCTTGGGTTTTTGTCCTGATGTCACCACTTTTATGTGTTAAATTCATCAGTATAGTTCATCCTTGTACTGAACTAGCTCACCCCTTGCTTCATTGGATGCGTTCTACCCATACTACACAGTCAATGTAGATATAATTGATAAAGTATCAAATTATAATACAGTATTAATAAAGGAAAGTTCCAAAAGTTTGAAATAAGATGCAATTTTTCCTGCCAAAAACTGTTGAAGATATGTGTATTAAGACCAACACCTGTCTTTAAAAAAATATGCAGCTTTGCATTTTTTACAAAGAAAAAAAAACACTATAATGTGAACAATAGGGTTGACGAGTATTGTAAACTTGACAAGGCCATGATGGTGATGCATTAGGATATATATTTCATGTTCTGATTCTTTTACCTGTGAGTGAGGGGTAGGAATACGGGGACTTTGCTGTGGTGATTGTGGAGATACTGCGGGGCTGGGTGAGTGAAGACCCACAACTCTGCCCTTGTTCTGCTGTTTTGTCCGGTACTCCTGAACAACCATTTGTATTTTAGGTTGATAGTCAATTTAGTATGAAAGAGTAAAACTAATTTATTACATGTATAGTTTAAAACCTGTTTGTTTTCACTAATGATATATTTTGATTTTTGAAGAAGCTGAACAAATAAACGAATTGTAGGATAAACAATCATTTAGGCTATACAAACTGTGTTATATGATGGGGTAGAAAATGAATATTTTTAGCATAATAAACAATATCCAGACGTAGGACGATGAATTCAGATTTTTAACATGGTCAAGAGTCTATTGTGAAAGTTGGAAGTGTATAATAAAGGTCTAGAGGGATTATTTTGAGGCTATGTAGAAGAGTTGATCATTGAATTTGTATACCTATAATTTTTAAGATTGTACAGAACCTCGATTATTCAGGGTAATGGGAGAGGGGGGGGGGGGCGGGAGACCACGGATAACTGAAAACCATGGTTAATCCAACACACCATAAACATGTATTACAAACAAACCCATAAAATGCCTATATTATATTATTATTAATACAATATAAATAGACGTTAATGTGATGATTAATTTGCATTTTACATCATCAAAATACAATTATGTTAAGTCACTAATCTTGATTCAGTAACAAAAACTGTGACACGCTTACTCAAACAAAACAATAATTGCTAAACACTTTACAGCAATAAATCATGTAAAGAACAAAACAAAATAAGGACTATACTAGTAAGCTACTGCTACCTTAGTCATCATAGGATACAACTACATGATGTTTCAGAACAGAAGAATGTGGATAAAAACATTAGATAATTCATAAAACAGCAAAAAATCATAGTAGGTACTTAAGTAGGGTCCATGGAATTGGCTCACTCTGGAACTCGCTAACCCCATGTTAAACGCCCTATCTTCAAATTTGGTCGATGAGAGGAACTCGCTAACTTGTTCGGTTTCGGAATTGGCTAACTCCAGAACCAGCTAACCTGCTCTAGAGCAGGGTTAGCGAATTCCGTCCTCGTACGGAAGCCGCTGATTCTGTCCCTCGGCTTAACTCCCAATCAGAAGCCTCCCGCACCATCCAATGGGAGCCAAGCACGAAGATTGTTGGCCAGTGTTGCCGAAAGTGTAGTACCTACGATTGTATCGGTACCATAATATTGTATCTAGTGATGGGCGAATCCAAGAAAATGTCGGTACCGGATCCGGATCTTGAAAAATTCGGATCCGGATCCTGTCATAAGGGCGGGTTAAAAAAAACGTAATTAACAGAATGCCAATTTAAATCATACTTATATTATTTTTTATCACGAAGCATCGGGTGAGATTAAAATACTAACGGGATATTTTCTAGACGAGATTATAGGCCTTCAGCTTATCATCCAGGTACAAAACGAAAAAATAGAGGTGAGCGGATATCCGGTCGGATTCAGTTGGAAAAGATACATGCCATTGCCATACATGTTATTTATTTGTATCAAGAGACAAACACTGAAACATGGCCTTGCCATATTAGTTATTTGCATCAAGAGACAAACACTGATACATGGCCTTGCCATATATGTTATTTGCATCAAGAGACGAACCCTGAGACATGGCCTTGCCATATAAGGTATTTGCACCAAGAGACAAACACTAAGACATGACCTTGCCATATAAGTTATTTGCATCAAAAGACAAACACTGAGTCATGGTCTTGCCATATATGTTTTTTGCAACAAGGGCAAACACTGAAACATGGCCTCGCCATATATAAGTTATTTGCATCAAGGGGCAAAAATGAGACATGGCCTTGCCATATAAGTTTTTTGCATCAAGAGGCAAACAATGAGACATGGCCTTGCCATATAAGTTATTTGCATCAAGAGACAAACACTGAGACATGGCCTCGCCATATAAGTTATTTGCATCAAGAGACAAACGCTGAGACATGGCCTTGCCATATAAGTTATTTGCATCAAGAGACAAACTTTGAGACATGGCGTCGCCATATAAGCTATTTGCATCAAGAGGCAAACACTGAGACATGGCCTTGCCGTATAAGTTATTTGCATCAAGAGGCAAACACTGAGACATGGCCTCGCCATATAAGTTATTTTCATCAAGAGACAAACACTGAGACATGGCCTTGCCATATAATTTATTTGCATCAAGAGGCAAACACTGAGACATGGCCTTGCCATATAAGTTATTTGCGTCAAGAGGCAAACACTGAGACATGGCCTTGCCATATAAGTTATTTGCATCAAGAGACAAACAATGAGACATGGCCTTGCCATATAATTATTTGCATCAAGAGACAAACACTGAGACATGGCCTCGCCATATAAGTTATTTGCATCAAGAGACAAACACTGAGTCATGGCCTTGCCATATAAGTTATTTGCATCAAAAGACAAGCACATGGCCTTGCTATATAAGTTATTTGCATCAAGAGGCAAACACTGAGACATGGCCTTGCCATACAAGTTATTTGCATCTAGATACGAGCATCGAGACATGGCTTTGCCATATAAGGATGCAAACACTTGGGGGAAAAAAACTGTCTTGTACATGGATATAGACAGCTTTGTGTTAGTAAAAAAATCGGGAAAAATCGGGTTTGTTCAGTGACACAGATAGCTTTGTGTTAGTAAAAACATCGGGGTTGTACAATGTACAGTGATACAGACAGTTTTGTGTTAGTAAACAAATCGGGGTTGTACAGTGATACAGACAACTTTGTGTTTAGTAAACAAATCGGGGTTGTACAGTGATACAGACTGCTTTGTGTTGGTAAAAAAATCGGGGTTGTACAGTGATACATACAGCTTTGTGTTAGGAAAAAATCGGGAAAAAGTTTCAAAAAATCAGATCCATCAAAACCGGATCCAGCCCAAGATCCGGAATTTTTTGGATCCGATCCGGTGCCGGTTCTAGCTCAGATCCGGCGGATCCGGTAGTCCGATATCCGGATCCGACCATCACTAATTGTATCCTACGAATAATTAGGAGTAAGAGCAAAGTAGTACTGTGGGTAGATAAAATAAATATATATTCTGAAGTATGTTTTTTAATATTATTCTTATGATTATTATTAGGGTGGAAAATGTATTATAGTCTTACCATAGACTAACCAACACAAGTAAACTTTTCATCCCATTGCAAATTTTGAAGCTCGTTTTTCGTGTCTAGTTCACGTCCGATGACACTGATCGCTAGTGTCGTCGTAATTGTGTTTCTATTATTTTATAGTTGATTTCATGATTTGTTCTCTACTCTTTAGTTATATAACTAGGGGACGTGTTATTAGTTATGATTAGAACGTTTTATTTGGATGAAAGAGGTTTTAAATGACTGAAAACAAGAAATAAATTGTAAACAAAACACGACCTCTACAGACAGTGCACCGGACAGGACTAACAATAAAATTCTCTTCCGCTGATCTATAAGGATGAGAAATATATAAGGGAGCATGCTTTATCTTCTTACTTAAATAGTAGTTTATTGGTATGCAAAAAGATAGTACTGTACATTTAATTTGGATATTTTACAGGTTATGAAATATCTATTTTCGTAGTCGGTTATTTGTTTCTTTTATTCAAATTAATATCATTTTGTGAACTTCTGCTATTAAAATAATTAAGTTCCTATTTTGTATACTGGGCTTGTAACCATGAACGCTTGTCTTTGATAGGTTATAATATTTGATTCTTTAAAGGCATATTATATCTGTCGTGCGAGTGTTAATAATAGTTTGTTAATAATAGTGAGCACAAACTGACTCAAAGAGATCCATAGAGAGAATTAATATTAAAGGGTACAACCTAAGTGCACATTTTTCTCGCAGTAACAGCTGTGGTGGTGGGGGGGATTTAATCTATCAAAAACTTTTATTAAATTAAAAGAAATAATTTTAGAAGAAATAAATGATCTATTATCTGAAACAACATTTGAATGTTGTTTAGTAGAATTTCAAAAGATACTACCGCCCAAAAAAATCTAAATTTTTGTTAGTTGGCCTATATAGAAATCCTATTAAAAAAACTGAAATAGAATTTATTGGCACAATAAATATTTTGTTGGGAATACTTTCTCAAAAATACCAACACATAGTATTAATGGGTGATATAAAATCAACATAATGAATTTTGAGGATGGTAATAAACTTAAATAAATAAACTTAACAATGTTGTTCTTGCCAATGGTTTCCAGTCAGTTGTTAATTTTCCCACAAGAATTACTGAAACAACAAAAAGCACCATAGATAATATTTTTACCAATATAAATAATGCCTATTTCGATGTAATTGGTTTCAATACTCAGCTGTCAGACCATGATGGTCAACTCTTTGTAAAAAATAGTAAAAATGATAGTCCTGATAATGCTGTATATCTTAAATACTCTAGGAACTTTAGCACTGCAAATATAGATCACTTTATTGAAGTTCTTAGCCTTGAAACTTGGCTTAATGTATTTTTTGCTCCAGTTGAGTCAAAGTATGATGTATTTCACCAAACTTTTATGTATTATTTTGAGTTGTGTTTTCCTAAGAAATTATGTAGAAAATATAGGCATAGAAGCAGGTGGTTTACTGAAGAGCTTAAGATTGAAAAACAATCAATTATTGAGTTTGCTAACAATGCTAGAACGTTAAAAAGCAAAACCATGTAAAAACAACTAAGACAGAAGGATAAAATGTTTAGAAATAAGGTTACAGCTGCAAAAAAACTATATTATCAAAATAAAATAAACTCAAGTAACATGAACAAAACCAGCTGGCAAATTATTAACTCTGAAGACGGTAAGGCAAAATCAGAAAACCACATTACTAGTGTTCATATTAACAATCAATGTTGTTCAGACCCTTATGTTATATGTAATTCATTCAACAAGTATTTTACTGATTTGGTTGACACAAACATGGTTCCTAACTTGGATTCACTTGTTGGGAATGTTAAGGACGGTGTAAAAGCAGTTGAGTCAGATCATATAATTCATTAGAACTATTAAACATGGTGTACCACAAGAATCCATCTTGG